TCCTTTATTTGGAGATGAAGCAAGTTGCCCAAGGTGACACACTGAGTCAGGAGCCACCCAAAGCCAGCATTCCTCACTTCTAGTCCTACCTGCAGGTTTCCTAGACAATCCTGCTCTTATTAAAGATGTTCTGACTTTATTGTGGTAGACTTCAAAGAGCAGGAGCCAGTGCACGCTGTCCCTCCTGGCAGCACTCCCCAAAGAGAGGCAAGCCCATGCCCCTAACGCAGACGGCAGGAGAACACAGCGCTCGTCCAGCTCCTGACAACTGATGCCTGGTGTAAAGGAAAAGGTTTGGCAAAGCAGGGTGGTCTACAGCACTCACACTCTCTCCTGGGCAGCGAGTGGGTTCTTGTTCCCAGTGAGATTTTCCTTCTTTTGCACATGTCAGTAAGAAAATGAGAATGAGTGGGCCAGGGATGCCAGCAGGGAACAGAAGGAATAATGCTAACACCGGTAGGGAATAATTTAAAAAGCAAAGAGGCAAAACTAACATTTGAAATCACTGACAAATCCCTGGAGTTGTCAATATTGAGTATTTTCTGTCACCCTCCTGATGTTCCCCTTTTATTCTGAAATAGCTGTTCCAAGGAGGAGGGCAGTATTTTTTACAGCTGTGCTCCTAGAGCTTAGCATTCAAGATGGGCGTTATCAATGCAGGTCCTAATGCAAGCTGACTAGCCCTAGCAGCGACGCTGCCCTCGGTGCTGGGAGGCAGGGGCTGGTCAGGGTGAGCATCTTATGTGATGGATGCAAGGACTTTGTTGCCAGGAGTGGGCCTGGGGCAGTTCAAGTGTTCAGTACTCCCTCAACATCCACTTTGAAAAAAAACCACAAAGACAGAAGCCACCAGGATGGGGAGAAGGAATCAATTTAGGAACATCAGAAGCTCATTAAGTACCTCCCTGTAAGTCAAAGTCACTTAGTTAATCTCTTTTCTCTTAACATCCCCCTGGAAATCACTGGTGATGACACTAAGAGTTAATCATCAGAAAGCAAGATTTATCTTGGTTTCATCCCATCAAACAGCAGAGTGCTGCAGCAGCTGCAGCTCCCTACATTCCAACAGGATGGTTTTGGTTACCAACAACGCTGCTCTCCCAGTACAATGTCAGTCCTCCCAAGGCACCGCGAGCATCACACACCTCCCCTGGGACATCACACACACACACCCTGTGCACAGATGTGCCTTTCCAAGGCTGCCACATTGCTCTGCACTCAAAGTCCCCAGCACTGCTGGTGGCATCAGCCACTCCACAGGAGAGGTTGTGTCGTCTTGAGTGAAGCAGCCCTGGGGATGCTCCTGGTATGCTCCACACACTACAGCCTTCACACCCCTCTCAGGTGCTCTGCAAACCTTAGATGTCTCCCAGCTGTGAAGCCAAGCACTGCTGATGGATCAGTCACTAGAGGAAAATATGCAGTGTCGATACATCCAGTGTGACACAGACACCACTCAGTACCGTGCACGCTCACTGTGGGTTGCCCCTCTTACCAACACTGCTGTCACTCAGCATTGTTCCACCTCTCATGTTATGAGCCCAAAAAACTCCTATTTCTGCTAATGTTAAACGGGCTTTGAATGTTTTAATATCCACACCAGGAGATGCCAGGGCCTGCCATGGGAGTGGAGGCAACACCCTTGGCAGCACCACTGCAGAAGCACCCTGTACTCCTGAGCACTCAAAGGCTGTCCTGCTCCTGTCATCTGTTTAATGCCACAGCACACTAACCAGTGGAATAAAACAAAAACCAGGGGAAAGATTGGAAAGATGAGACTTCAGACATGATGAAAAGGAAAAGGCAGACAACAACAACAACAAAAAAATCATTTACAGAACAGAAACAAGTACTTTTCTGCATGTACTTGTCAGAGAAACTTTTTTTTCCTGGGATCAGTCTCTTTTCTGCCCTTTGAGTGTCACTAACATTTGTTGTTCCAGTGATCTTTCATCTTCTTAATACTCTAATTTCTGGACTTGAGAGACAATGACAATTTTAAATTTCCAGGCCTTTTTAAAAAAAAAAAAACACATTAAGTTCAGCCAGACAAAGAAACCCACAAATACCTTTTATTTCGTTATTTTGGAGGCTTGACCCCATGCATTTTACAGATATGAGGTTGGCAGTAAAGGCAGTAGATAATTTATCTGTTCATTTCTATTACTCTGGTTCTCCTAGAAAGCATAAGAGAGATCATCCATTTGATAGTTGGTCTTTACAGGGCCAGAAATCTGTGCACTCAGCCACAGCTCAGCTGTTGGAAGGCATGATTATCTAGAAATAAGACAAGCTTGAAGAAAAGGAAAATTGAGGGTAACAGAAGGACAAAAAAAGGCCCATATGAATAGGAAAGGCATGTTTCTGCATCCTGATACAACTCTGCTACCTGAGTTATGTGAAGGGGGGGGTTCACTTTATAGTTCACTACTCAACAGTCAATTAATTTGCTTTGCCATTTTCTTTTAAGATATACGGCTGAATTTCCTCTATTTCCATTCACTATTTCTCCATCAACAGAAGGCCTGAGTCAGAATGATATTTTCTTCACACATTAGCAGTTAATAAACATTTAAAACTGTTCTCAGAGTTTATATACCATAAAAAAAACCACAATACCTTGGAAGAGAACCGACTTATCAATAGCATTTACAAAGAACAAGGCCTTTCTGATTTAAAAAAAAAATGTATTTTAAAAGTGTATAATCTAACCTGAATCTTACTGCTCATGCTATCTATGTACACTGTGCAACTCACTCTGCCATGGACAATGAGAACAGACTGGTCATTTCCTGTTTCACACCACAGACCAAGTGCTTTAGTTTCCCAACCCTTATGCACCACACACTGCTTTTAGGTTTGCACCACAAGCAGTGCACAACCAGTTTCCATTGGAATTTCCTTCTAACGCCCAAGACAAAAGAAAATTCAAACATATTTGACATCTGACCTCAGAGACCTCCAAAGCCTCATTCCCCACAAGTATGACCTCCTTTTAAGAACAGCTTCAGCTTATCAGAAATCCAGATGAGTAAGTGATGACAAATCTACACCAGAGATTTTTTGGAAGAATTAGTAACCAATTCTTGCCAACCAACCATCAATTCCCATGAAGTGCTCAATTGGCTGTGATTATCATTACTTGCAAGGGTGCCATCAAACTGAAACTGAGTCAGTGTTTTAAATATGATTTAAGAGCAGTTCTGGATACTAAAGTGGCTCCCAAGTCCCCACTGCCAAATTGCATGTTATTCTTCACAAAAAGGTGATGTTTCCTCCCTTGCTTCCAAGAGAAAAGGCACCATCCACTCTGGTAACAGACAATACTAACGAACCATACAAAGATAATAATGGGTTACTTCACATATTTGACAGCTTACTGCAGTTTTAAAAGATTTGTGAAGATGAAAACGCATTTCCTTTATCTCAAACTATTTAATTTTAGGTACTTGTAGCAATTATAGCTAACATTTTTCAGACAAAACTGTGGTTCTTTAATTATGGCATCCATTTCAAAGCAACACTCATATTAATCTAGCCAATTTTTCCAGCCCTTAAGTCCATAAGGTTAAGGCTTGACAAGTTCCAGTTTTGTCTGTAACCAAATTAAATCTAAATATTCCTGCACTCCTAAAATGTTAGGGAATGAGGTGACTTCGCCTTGAGGAGACAGCTCCTTTCCTCTCCACACAGCCACCAGGGTAAGAGCTGTTCACCCCAAAGGGGTGCAGGTGATGTGCTAAGCGAGAGCTTTGGAGACCCTGCACTCATCACATTTTAGAGCTGGCTTTCAGGAGGGAGCTGCCACTTGCCAGGATTGTCAGGCTGGACTGCTGCATCCCTGCCTCCTCCTCTACCACTGCTCCCTCCCCTGCCCGGGCACTTTGCTCACTCATCTGGCTGAAATATAACTGTGAAAAAAGAAGTAATTAATGTTCAGCCAGATCAGCCCCCTGAGGTCTCACCACCACCTTGGTAGCTCCCTAAGGAGCAAACACAGGACCAAGGATGGAAAGAAAGGAGAGACTGTGAACTTTACAACTGGTGTAAGCCATTACAGTACCACACCATCCAGTTACAATCGGACAGTTTTTTTGACAGTAAAATGAAGCTGTGAATCCAATGTGGTTGCCAGGAATTTAATGCATCAACCAGCGGTCACTTGGCCATCACAGTCAGCAAAGAGGCCAAGGGCACCACTTCGAGGACATCCAAAGACACATCAGAAAAAGGACCTCCCTGCAACATCACAGGACACTGCTGGCACTGCCAGCTTGGGGGGTATATCTCAAGGTCAGAGACACCCTGCAGTTAACCCTCACAAGGGAACAGTGCATCCCACTCAGCAAACTCCTGGCTCACAAGGCAAGTTAAGTGCCCATTTACTGATAGGTTGACTAGGGACAGCCTTTAAAAGTCTTGACTGAGATTTGGTCTTAAGCCTTTAGCTCTGTAACAACACATCTTAACCACTCTGGGTCCTTAGAAGCATCATTTTCCTAATACTTTCTTGCTGGTTTAATGAAACAAACACTCTATTTTCCTCAGCCGTTACTGGACCAGTGTTTTGGATGCAGCAAACAGTTATTGCAGCTTCACAAAACACTAACACTGATAAAGCCCCAGGATGTTAGTAAATATATGGAAAGTCACAACACCATGTATTTCAGATCTTAGTACCCAGTGATCTCCATTCATTTCCTCTCCACTATCCTTCAGTTACAGCAACAAACAGAATGTCACATCTGAACCTCCAAACACAAAATTAAATACGCTACATGAAACACAGCAAGGTCTGAAAATAATCAAAGACAGTATACCATAAATTTATATTCCATTTTTTGTCTACTGACAAATACAACCTCAGCAAAAGAACTAACTATAGGACTAAAAGTGACATCAGAAGTTTTTCCAGCAGTTGTCTGTACTCCTCGGGAGGCTTTGCTGCAGACCGGTATGGCACAAGGAGAAGGAATGTGGTGCAAGGGGCTCATACTCACCGTCTGCAAAGTTTCCTCCTGTCTTCTGCTTTGGCTCTGTCGGTTGATAAAGGAGCGTGTCGAGAGTTTGTAATGGTTCAACAAGCAGATGATCACTACCACCATAACAGTTATAACCACAATTATAATGATGATTTGAACAAACTCCAGTTCAGCTAAAACAAAGAAAAAAACAGAGAGGAAAATACGTCAATCACACACAGAATGTTACCCATCAAAGCAATAACCTCAAAACTCCTCAGCATTTCAAGATTGATCTGGAGCAAGATGCTCACTGCTGTCCATTTCACAAAGTCTTGCAAAGAAAAATGCATTCCAAAAGTAGGGAAATTAGTCATTTTTGGGCATTGGTAATCAAATGGCATATTCACCTGGCTGCAGGTCAAAGCTAAGAAACTTTTTCGTGATCCTTTTCTACAACCTTCACAGGTAGTAAGTTCTTCACCATAAACACCACAGACGATAGAACAATAATTTCACTGGGGGAAAAAAACACTACACACATACCCCAAAACCCACCCTATTTTAATAGCCATCTGCAATGCTAATAGAGTCCAGAGGGCTCCACAGGCTTCAAAGCAGAGACCATGGAGAGAGGAATCTGGACACTATCTAGTAAGCTATCTTTTTTTTTTTTTTTTTTAAATCAGCAAAATCACATGAAAGCTACCTAAATCAAGCGGAAAAACTTTTTTCCTACTAAATCTACACACAATGTCTTTTTCAATTACTTCTCTCCAACTAGAGTAAAATTAACTTTTCTAGGACATTCCCATTCAGGTAAAAATCTAAAAAGAGATCTGGCACTCTAAAACAAGATATGTTCCACTATGGTTAAAAATGAAACCGGGGCCTTGGCTGTTGCAAGAGATACAATTACAATGAACTCCATCAGAGCCCCATCATCTTATCTGAAGTCCTGCCTATACCACAAATATTAAGTATATTTAGAAATGAGTCACTCTTGCACCCTTTTGGCTATACTGGAGCATCAAGGATGAGCAACCTAAGGGGAGAAATTGCCCTTTGGAGTTACACAGTTGCTGATATTTCTATGGAAACTGCATTGCTCACAGGGGATGCTCTCATCTTGAAAGACAACTCCAGTTCACGGGAGGAGGTCTTTGGTTGCTAGGCTGGTAGAAAAAGCAAAGCAGCAGTGTGAGTTGCTCAGTTTCAATACTTTCCAAAAATGGCACTACTTCTGGGCACCAAAACATGAATTTTGGGGAACCGATATTAAATTTCCATTTAAAAAGCCAGTGAGGAAAGATAGATAACAAAACATAAAAACAAAAGGACAAAGCAAACAGAGAAGCTGTTTTCCCCTCTCTCTTATCTCTTCCATTTGTAGCCATCCTCAGCCTTCTGTGTAACAGCAGTACGCTTACGCAAACACAGCTCGACTCTGAAGCTGAGCTAGAAAAATGCTGTTCACACGTAAAATCTAAAACCTGTGGTGGAACTAAAGAAAACCCAAGGCTTGTTCACTATTCTAAGATCTCTTCCAAGCAAAATTTCAGGCTACAAGAGCTCTAAGTCCAGTGGAGGCTGGTGCTGAGGTCCAGCTGCTTGTCACAAGTTTTCAGTGGGCACAGGCATACCACCATCTAAGTGCTGAGGTTCTGTGACCATCTCAGTAGGAGTAATTAAATCTATTTGAGGCTAAAGAGAGAGTAAAGGGCAGCAATACATCTATCATTTAATTTCTCTTTGCTGTTAAGTACCATCCACTCATCATTAAGACCACCAAAAAATTTGATTAGTCAGTGCTTTCCTCTGCTTTTGCTGTCAATCCCACATGCAGTGCAGCAATCTCTTGGGTTTTTTCCTCAAGTCATTGAAAGCTAACAATGTCAGCACCAAAAGATCAAAAAGAAGGAAGCATAGAACTAATTAAAAAACAAACCCACCAAAACCGTATTTAAGAAAAAAGTAAGTTTTTCTTGGCTCAGAAGCACAGTATACAGACTTGAAACAGTTGACAAGTGCTGCAATTCACATTCTGCAGCTCCTGAGGACTAAAAGGTTTCTCTACCCAAAAGATTTTTTTTTGGGTCCCTGTAATACTTTAGACTGGAAATTGAGAGACTGTTGCTAAAGGGCAACATGCAAAACAAGCAATGTTGATTTAGGCTTTCCTAGAATGCAAAGATCACTGGAATGACATGTTACTTCTCTATCTGCCAAGGGCAGAGTCTTCTAAATTTATCAAGGCCCCAGCATTTCAGTGGCAGGGGATGGAACCTCTCCTTTAGAAATAAATTACTGGGCCTGTGAGCATTTACCTTGGGGGGGAGGAAATCATTTGGAAATGTTTGACTAAAACATGGTCATACAACCATACAGTAAAGGAAATCAAAGGCACAGCACAAGGTGTGAGCACACAAGATTTTCCAAGTCCAGCTTTACATCACAAACACTAAAATGCACAAAACACCTGATGTGCAAGAGGATTTCCTCACTGGGAAGTGGAGGGAAGGGAAAGAGGAAGGCAATTTTTAATCTCTTCCTCCTCCTGACTGCCTACCCTGCTACTCATTAGATTATTAACAGGAAAAAGCAAAGAGGGAAGAGCAGCAGCAGCCACCTCTCTTTACCGGTGCCGCTCAAGGCAATGGAAACACTTTCCGGCGGCTGCCGATGGGCACCGGGTGACTCCGGCCCCCACGTCGCCTCCTGCCCCGGGTGTGACAGGCTGCCACCTGCCAGGCGGACATCTCCTCCTGCCCACTCTTCCTCTAAGTTAACTGGGAAAGGGACCGGGGG